GCATGCTCATTGTTTGAAGTTCGTTCACTTTTGCTGTTACCCCGTTGGAAGCAAATAACTAGTGGAGATATCGGTGGAAGTAAAACTGATGATCAGATTCAGTTTTCCAAATAGATCGGTGAAACCATCAATGGAAGACATTGCGAATTTTGTGAAATCGCTGGATGTGGACCCCACTCAGATGATCGGTACTTATCGAATAGCGGAGGAAAAATCTATGTGCAAGTTCAAGTTAGAGGATTCGATGCTTTATTGTTTGCTAAATAACCGTGAACAATTAATTTTCCATTATGCCAATGGGAAGTCAGTCGAGATACGCATGTCGCCTGCTGAGGGCACCGTTCAGTACGTGAGAGTTTACGACCTACCTCCAGAAGTCTCGGATAGAGCATTTCTAGCTCAAATCGTTAAAAAAAATGTCAATTTTGTCTCGACCCCTTCTGATTTGAATGAAACATTGCTCACGTGTTCGCTGCTACTAATGGTTGCATTTTTCATTTAAATATCATTTTTTCCTCCAGAGTAACTTTTGAAAAGGGCGTATAAAAAAATGGATTATTTTTTATTCAAAAAATCATAACTTGAAAACTATTGATCTGATCAAAACGGCATATGAGAAGAAGTTTTAGGTAATTAAATTATTTTTGCGGAAAAAATACACTGAAAGAAAAAACTTCGTAAATTAGTATTTAAAAACGTAAAACGATGATTATCTCAAAACACCCCCCCTTCGATCTTTATAATTTTTTTTTTCAAGAAAATTGATGGAATACCCTTAAATTTCGTGAAAAATGTATGCTGGTAACTTCCTTAAAAAGAAATCTATAATTTTTTAAATTTTTGTTGATTTTTACAAGTTGATGAAAATGCATATTTTTTTGAAAAATAACAATTTATTTGGATTCTACGCATAATTTTTGATAACTTTGCATATAGAAACTTTTTTCCTAAGTCCAGCCGTTCTCAAGTTAATGCAAATTAAAAAAAATATAATTATAACAATTTTCAACATTATTGGCCATTTTCAAATGTTTGTCGAGATGTCCAGCAACGAGATTTTATTTCATGATTGTATATTAAAAAACAAACAATTCATTCTCAGATATGGTAGCTGTCAGACTTACCCGTTTCTATCTAGAGGCAGCGGAAGAGAAGCACGTTGATATGGTCAAATGAAAGATTTGTTGAGATAAAAAACAGTATATATTTATTATTTTATTTTACAACTCATATTATTTGAATACATTGAATAATTTGGGTGTATCGTTTGAATTAGAGAATATTTTTACTGCAATTTGGTTGTTTGAAACTGGAATATAGCAATGATATTTTCGAGTTCCAGGAATTGGTTTCACTTTCTTAAAAATTGGATCAAATTCCGTGTCACCCTTTTTGTATTCTTCCGTAGAAACATAACAAAATGACATTTTTGTTTGAAGATCTTCTTTACGACTATTTGCCCAGTCGTACAGTTGTTAAGGGTTCGTTATAGGGTGCTCGTGTTGCTTAGCTAAACTTGCTCTGGTTGCCATTCTCTTAAGGGTACCGCCAATCGCATAACAATGACCTTTGCCGTGTGAAGTTGCAAAAAAATGCCATTCAATTTCTACATTATGCTTATCTTTAAATCCACAAATGCTAGCAAAATTTTTTATGTTTTTGTATTGTGATGCTGCTCCATCTGACATAAAAATACACTTTTGGACTGTTATTTGCAACTTTAAAAATTCTAATAATTTTGAGATAAACAACTGAACTGCTACTGTGTCATGCTTTGAAATTGATTTAGGTGGAGGTTTACAACACTTGAAATTGTTATCCATCGTAAAAAACTACTTGCTTTTTAACTTGAAACGCTAAGAGAGATGAACTGAATGGAACAGGTGAAGATCGTCCCAATATATATATATATGTAGCAGAATAATTACAATGTTGACATTATACCTATCTTCATTAGGTACAATTGATTATAGCAAACTTTTTTAAGTGTGAGTGTAAGAAGCCTCCACGGAGTGCCTTTTTATGTAGTTGTGATATCGCGGGATGAGCTCTTAAGGCACAATATGGTATACGTCAGAGAAGTACCTAGAGAATTTATCTCAATTACAGGTTTAATAACATATTTGTTTACCTGTTTATGTTTTGAGCCTCTGTTATGACATACACAATTCTATCCAGGTATACAACTAATAGAGGACAGAAAAAAGGCACATGAGTGGGTTTGTTGATTATTTGGGTATATTTGAGAGTATTTACTTATAAACTTGTTTCTTTTCCGCTGCGTCTAAATAGAAACGGGTAAGTCTGACAGCTACCATATTTGAGAATGAATTGTCTGTTTTTTAATATATATTCATGGAAAAACATCTCGTTGCTGGACATCACGACTAACATTTGAAAATGGCCCAAAATGTAGAAAATTATTATAATTATTTTTTTTAATTGCACTAACTTGAGAACGGCTGGATTTAGAAAAAAAGTTTCTATGTGCAATGTTTTTAAAAATTATGCGTAGAATCCAAATAAATTACTATTTTACTAAAAAATATGCAATTTCACCAACTTGTAAAAACCAACAAAAATTTCAAAAATTATAAATTTTTTTTTAAGGAAGTTACCAGTATACAATCTTCACCAAATATTAGGGCATTTTTTCAGTTTTCTTGAAAAAAAAAATTATAAAGATCGAAGGGGGGGTGTTTTGAGATAATCATCGTTTTACGTTTTTTAGATACTAATTTACTAAGTTTTTCTTTTAGTGTATTTTTTTCCGCAAAGATAATTTAACTACCTAAAACTTCTTCTCAAATGTCATTTTGATCAGATCAATAGTTTTCAAGTTATGATTTTTTGAAAAAAAAATAATCCATTTTTTTATACGCCCTTTTCAAAAGTTACTCTGGAGGAAAAAATCATATTTAAATGAAAAATGCAACCATTATTAGCAGCGAACACGTGAGAAATGTTTCATTCAAATCGGAAACACTCATGAAAAACCGGTTTGCGTTTTGGGCTGGAAATGCTCGGATAGCGATCTAGCATTGGTGCTAGGGAAATACGGTGATGTAAAGCGTGTAGTACGGGAGAATTTCCCAGCTACCTTGAGCCTCAATATTCTTACATGTGTGCGAGGTCTATATATGGATGTAAAAAAGGATATTCCTAACTCACTACATTTTATTAATCGGAAGGGGAACATATTCTACCAAGGGAACAACAATTTGTGTTTCCTTTGTAAGACGGAGGGGCATCGGATGAATTCCTGCCCAAGCGGAAGGACTGAAAGAAGCCAGTACAAAAACGACTGGAAGAAGAAAACCATCAACGGAATGAGGAAGAGACCAGTACGTACGCTGGTGTAATGACTGGATGTGCATTGCCAAAAGAGGAAGCGGATGAGATTCTGGAAGAAGAGGTGGTAGTGACGGATGTGTCAGGGCTGAAAACATTACTAAAATTCATCAAAGTTCACTATGGATGAAAAATTCATTTCATAGTGAATGCTAGTGATTTTTTCATGATTCAACCCTGTCGATGTGACGTCCCCGGATGCCGAGAAGAACAATGGAGAGGAAGCAAGCGCTGTTGAGCAACAGCAGCCGCTTGTTTTCAAGTTCAAAAACGATGCGTATTACCAACAATCAAAACGAAACTAACGATTTTAAATTGGCTCACTACTTGACTAGCCTATTGGTTCCAAGCAAATCGATTACGGACCCCATTCTAGTCAAAATTCTAGTACTACACTATGTTTGTTTTGATTCGATATGAAAGTTTGGCAGATAAAATGAGGGGTTAGTGGATTTTCGAATGTATTAGCTTGGGACCGAAGATAGTACCAGAGCTGAGCCAAAAAGTTGAGCACGTTTCTTCGGGACCTACTAGTCTTAGAGTTACCTCTATGGTATTACTACTACAAATTCGGGATAGTAGACTATATTGAGAAGGAGCGGATAAAGGACGAAGAGGAGTCCAAGCAGCTGGCGCTACTAAAGGAAAAATAATTTGCAGAAGCAAGGGAGTTGATGAAAGTGGAAGCTAAACTCAAGTCATCTCCAAGGAAGAGTAAGAAGCTCTCATAAACTATGTCTTTCCTAATACTTTAATGTAATTATTAAATTATTTAATGGTTTGCGGCTCCGTAAAGTCCTTTTGGACATTTGAGCCTAACAAATAAAATGTTGAATAAAATACTCATGGGAAACTCGATTGGCACGCTTCAGCAGAGCGTTTTCACAGGTTTCGGCACAGCTAAAACATTCGGCACAGATTGAGGTGCGCAGAGTTGATTACCCCTTAGGTTTGCGATTAAATTTCATATTTTTATCACAAAAATAGTTAACCATACGCCTAAATGATTTTTCCTTAACTACGCCGATGAACAAAAGTACTACCTAATGAAATACTAAACAAGTTATCTTTTAACAATATCATAAACAAGGATGGTTGAGAATCGAAAATTGAGCGCAACTTCACCCCGTTTTACGGAACCTTAAATTAAATTTGGATTATGACGATGATCCTTTCGATCCAAAAAAAAGCAAAAAAGGTTCTCTGTAAAACCGGAAAAAATAAATTGTATTTATTTTTTGTTCCAACTTGTCATGCAACAAGGTACCGCACTAATGAAATCATTAATCCCGTTAGGAGCTAGGAGGCTGATGGCGCTGGATAGCGATGATGTGTGACGGTCCTTGTCCATGGGTATGGAATCTCTCTCTCTTTCGTGGTTTTACAAAGTGTTACCCCCTTATCGTTACTCTGTTGCCAGGGGAAAGAGTTTAAGCTTATTAAAGTTCGTTAGACTAATTGTATGGACTGCAGCCATGGATCGGAGCAGTGCCTTCAGTGTGAAGTACGGCTGGAATGGTGTACTCTAGTTTACGTTTATAAGTGAGGATTAAATTGAAAGAGATAAAAAAATAATCTCTCAAATTCTGATCATTATATCACAACGGGACTGATCAGCTATGTTCACTAACATTTTTTTCCTATTTCAGATTCATATCGCTTCGAAAAACATCCACGACTGGTATATTGTAATTTTTAAGGTAAGTTAATACAATTTTAACAGAATTTTTGAATCTACGATTTGACGTCGATCGTCGCTTTAAAAAAACATGGCTACCAAATTATAATTAAGAAAATATCTTCGTATCCCAGCTCGGGAAATTGACTATAAAATACTTGTTTTACATTTAATTTTTAATCAGCCTTGATCGCTAAATCACGTTATTTAGTATTCAAATGTTCAATGTCTGACATCCACCATTAGGAAACTTTTCATGAATTCTAATGTATGAGTCATTTGCAATATAGTTTGACAGAACATCACAAGGTCAGCATAGGGTGAGTGAGCCAGTTTTGATACTAGTTAGTAGTTCATGTTGTATAGCACCTGATACCACTGAATTGAAGTTTAAAGCATTCTGAATATTAAAATAGTGCTAAATGTGTTAATTTTTGATCACTATCACCGAAGACAACAAATCAAGAAGACTGGCAACTCTTCCATTTTCTCATACGAACGCTATGAGACAGGTACAATCGCGTCATCTGCCGCTGAAAGGTAAATGCTTCGAACGAATTTGATAGCAAAGATTACATCCTCAGAAGAAAGGTTTGTGTATTTGCTCATTTTTCTATGCGTTGCTTCCACCTTCACTCAAGCGCAGCGCTATTGTATCTGTCGCTTGGATTCTGGCAAAGTTGCCAGGCTTCTTGATATGATGTCTTTGCTATCACCCTAATGGTAGATTTTAAACTTCTAGCTCTAGTGCCAGTTTTGGCATCAGTTGTTCCTTTACCTACGGCCGGCTCCAGTTGTTGACCTGTTTAATTATATCATCAAAACATTATTCCGTTGCTAAATGGGTCAGTAAAACCACGCTGATTTTGAAAACAAATCCAAACTTTTAATCTTAAATTGAAAAGATTGCATAAAAACCTGTTTAGAAAGGATCATTAGGTACGAAATGTTTTTGTTTTAAATGATATATGTAGCAGCCATTCCATAGCAAAACAATATAGTGGTTCTCAGAATTTCGTTAAAATTAGTAGTTTTGTTCCTTATCGCAAAATATTAGAGCCGTATTTTTTTTATTTTGTCATTAGGGTGACCATTTCCATGTTAGGATGGTACAAAAAATCGATTAAAAAATGACTTTTTTAAACTTTCACAACTATTGAACAACTGGGCCGATTTTAAAGACCAAAATATCAAATAAAAGGCAATCAAACATATTTTTTAGAAAAAAAATATAACGAAACTATAAAATTGAGATATTTTATTTTGTTGTTGTTGTTTAAGACATTTTGCATCCAGCGGATGCATTCGTGTCTGTGAGATATTGTATTGAATAATATTGATTGTATTTGTTTTTTTTATGATTTGTAGACAGAGAGCGTGATCTGTTTTTATATGTTATCTTGTAATTTGACTTTTTATACAACATATCAGAAAATCAGCAATTTATTACGTTTTTGAATTAAATTGTTTTGAATCATCAAGTTTTGGGTTTTCGCTCAATACTCCTATGCGACTATATTTCCATGCGTCTCCATTGATTTAGAGTGATTGTAACGTGGTTACGACGAATGGTAGTCGAGCAAAGCTGGAGATCAAATTTAAATCAAAATTTGCTGTTCTTATTTTGAATACTCCAGTTGATCTCATTTGGGTTGACTTAACGGATAACTCAGCAAAAATGAGAGCAAAATTTTACACAGTTAAATCAAACGGAAAACTAATCCTGCTTCCAATGAAATCAATTTGATTACTGTTTTTGCATTCATAATGTTTAACTGAATACGGGCCTTGCGTTATTCTAAGAAAAATACGATGTACGCGGAGATTTGAAGTACAATCAAAATAATATTCACGTCAATGCTACGTGAAAACATACGTAGATTTTTTCCATCATACTTTTCACGTAAGAGCCACGTGATTATAAATGTAGGGGTACTCATTTTATTGGACCCAAACGTCACTGGATTTTTACGTAGAAGTTACATAAATTTGTCGAAGGCATTCACTGGTGGATTCCAGTATCACATTTGTTTATAGTTGCTTACAAAAGACTTTCTTATAAGATAAATCAATTTTGTATTCCTATAGAATAAATAGAAATCTAATAATATTTCTTAATTTATTGATGCCCATATAAAATAAAAAAAAACATCAGAAAAAGTGTAATAGTATCCGATTTGGATCTCAAACAATCCTGGTGATATGCGCAATGGAATAGGACAAATTTTCTTTTCACTGCCAGATCATTTGCCGTCTTTCTATTGAACACAATAAAACAGGCAATGTTTGTTTGAAAATCAGGATAATCATTAGAAATAATCAAAAATTATACTTACATCTTGCAATTATTTTACAAAAATAACGGACATTAGCTCATCGCGATGTCGCCATACTTTGCACCACTCTGAGTGTAGAACTCTTTTTTTTTCAGATGTGGAAATCACATAAGGTTTACGTGAAACGCGCATAGAAACAGTGTATGTGAAAATCACGTAAATTGGATTGATTAGTATGTGTGCTTAATCGAAATTCCCTTTGATATTCAAGGGGTATCACATACATTCTACGTGAGTCATGTAAAGCTGAGGGGAGTGGAAAAAGAGAGAGCTTACGTGATTTTTCACGTAGTTTCAACGTGTCGATTATTTTGAGTGTATGTCTTCAAATCTACAGGCAAAAAGTGTGCACCTGGCTTTGTTCATTACTGTCTGCGGCTCTGGAATAGTTCTAGCGACGTTTCATCACTACCCAAAGCCCCACGTTGCCCCACCCAAAGGTATGGTTGAATGTCTCGTTCCTTTTTCCACAACAATAACGAGTGCAAGTGAGATACTGAACTCAAAATTAAGTAAAATGAACTCAAATTGTGGGTAGTATTTTTTCTTCGCGTATGTCAAGCGTTGTGCCAAACATGCCGAAGTGTGACAGTGGAGGTATCAGTCTCAGTAACCCATGAGTTTAGCAACCCTGCACTTATGACTTTTAATGAAGTTGTGAAACATAATTCTAAGATAATATTTAAAGAGCTTGTTACCGGTCATCCGCTTCAAGGAAGTGGTACTCGAAGTTTAGCCTCTCCGCGAGAAGGTGAAGGGCCGAAACCAAGTACCCAACCAGCAAGTGGAAGATGCATCTTGCCTGCATTATCATCATGCTAGTCGGACAATGCTACATCCTTAAAAACAGGAAGGACCTAAAATGCCCGCCGGCGATAGTAGTAGTAGTAGCAGCAGCAGACCTCAGTAGCTTCCCAGTGTCAGCAGCCGTGGTTAGGTACTAAATCCGTCTAACTGGCCTCCCCTTTTTTTATGGGTGGATGAAACTACTTCGTCCATGGATTAGAAACGACCCAGGAAACCACTGAGCTTGGTCATTTACGGTTACAAATTAACTAGTACTGTTCTGATTTTCTCTCATAATTCTCAAATTCTAACTTTTAATCCGTTCATGCACATCTTCCTTGGAATAATTTTCAACATTATCTACCTCCTTCTTGTATCTGCTTGTTGTTCCTTCATATTTTTATCCTTGGTCATGCCGGAATCGCATATTAATCTCCCTGAAACTGCTGCCGGTTCTGATAGCGTGATAGCGATGCAGATTGACTCCGTTACCTCCTTCACAATTCTTTTAGCAGCATCTTCCTTAATACACTTAAACCTCCGTTTACGAAGTCTATTTTTACGCAGTATTCAATTTACGTCCCTCTTTTTACGAAGTAAATCCCAAATAACGAGTATACACTGTGAAATACCTCAGAAAATGGATATTGTTGGAATCGAAGTGACGTGTAGGGACCGGAAATCAATGTCTGATGCCATTTTGAAATCCAAGATGGCAACTTCCAGTTACATAAAAACTTGGAAATTCTGCCAAATACCCCACAATATGGGTATTTTTGAAATCGGAGTGACGTTTAGGGACCAGAAATCGATGTCTGACGTCGTTTTGAAATCCAAGATGGCGGCTTCCGGAAACAGAAAAGCTTGGAAATTCTGTCATATACCCCACAATATGGGTATTTTTGGAGTTGGAGTGACGTGTAAGAACCGGAAATGTATGTCTGACGCCATTTCGAAATCCAAGATGGTGGCTTCCGGTTGCAGAAAAATTGGCAAATATCACCACGTCACCCCGATTCTTAAGATACCCATATTGTAGGTTTTTTAACATTGTTTTTATGTAATCGGAAGTCGCCATATTGAATTTCAAAATGGCGTCAGACATGGGTTTTCAGTCCTAATAAGTCACCCCGATTCCAAAAAACCCATATTGTGGGGTATTTGACAGTATTTCCCAGTGTTTCTGTAACCGGATGTCACCATCTTGGATTTCTAAATGGCGTCAGACATGGATTCTCGTTTCTCACAGGTCATCCCGAATCCAAAAATATCCATATTGTTGTATATTTAACGGTATTGTTTTGTTTTTCTGTAATCGAAAGCCTGCCATCTTGGATTTCAAAATGGTGTTAGACATAAATTTCCGGTTCTTACACGTCACTCCGATTCCAAAAATACCCATATTGTGGGGTATTTAGCAGAATTTCCAAGTTTTTCTGTAACCGGAAGCCGTCATCTTGGATTTCAAAATGGCGTCACTCATCGATTTCCAGTCCCTACACGTCACTCCGATTCCAAAAATACCCATATTGTGGGGTATTTGACAATATTTTCAAAAACCTCTTTTTACGAAGTAAATCCCAAGTAACGAGGTTTTTTTTTACGCACTAATTCGATTTACGAACCCCCGTTTTGGTTCGTAAATGGAGGTTCCAGTGTATTGCTACTGCCGCTGGTGATACGAACAGTTGCGAAAGAGCGTAGAGATACTGCAAACTGGTAAAATGGGATCCACTGACTCCACCAGCCTCCACATTTAATCAAATCCGAGTTCAGTCCATAGAATGAGCTGTACGGTTGACTGATTGGTGAACCATCAATCGTACCGAGTGGTTCTGCGTGAGAAACTTACCAGGCATACCAAAAGTACCGCCTCATGACAGTATTCCAACGGCTGTCG